CGTTCGGGCTGGTGCTCAGCTACTGAGCTTGCTGGGCTTGGGGACCTCCGCCATGAAAATGGCCATTGCCTTCCAGTTTCCTGGTATTTGCATTGGCCTTGGGAGAGGAATAGGACAATGTCTGCATTATCAAATGGAGAGGAAAACGCATATTGTTTTAGCCTGCATGTTAGGCAGATAGCGGTGACTCGTCACGTAAGTCGCAGGTAGCCCTGTTGGTGGGACCGGCTGGTACAGAAAGTCAATGCTCTCCGTCCCTGTGATGGAGACAGTGCTAAATGAGCTGGGCTCTGCACACACACCTGCCTTCCTGTCTCGTGGTTTTGATCCATAGCGCTGGCTGTTTTCTCCTCCCACAACCACTCTGCAGTGAACGGTGTCTCTCACGTTTGGAAATATTCCTCAGTTGCCTTGCTGAACTTGGTCACTAATGAGATATGACGGAAGGAGAGATTGCTAGATCTTCAACAGCAAAATATTGTTTGCCGTTTGAGATCGGTGTAACAGGGTACTCGCCCACGGTGGTCCGGCTGTGTTTCATCTCCTCAGGTTTGTGCTGTGTCGCTGTGTAGCCAGGCAGCTCCAGGTAACTTTGGCAGCAGATGAGATGCCAGCTTTCCCATGCTGAGAACTTCCTCCAGCTACAGTCTCCCTTCTTCACTAGCTCGGTCTAAGATAAGGGGCCGGGACGGACCTCTCAGTGACATTTTTAGCATGCATTCAGAGCCATGTGTCTTGGCACACTTTATAAATACTGATCAATCCACCAAGCGACCAACGCTGTACCCGCTTTACCGAGATGTGGAGAGGTTGTGGCACAGCCATCGGGGTGAGGAAGAGTTTAGAAACTCTGAGAACTGATTCACTGTCACCTGGTGTCCCCTTGGGGACATCCTTCCTGCGTGACCGTTGGTGTGAATTACTTGGGCGACTCCACCTGCTGTCCAAGCAAATCTTGAAACCACTTGTAGCAGCGATCTGGTCTGGGCAGCAAAAAACGTGAGGACTCCAGGCTCTATATGCTTCTCTGTCTTTCTGTGGCAGGACGTGCAAGTTTGTCGGCAGCCCTTGAGGTGATCAAACTCTGGCATGTTTCAGAACTCTTCTGTGTAGGCGAGGCAGGCAATATTTTAGCACAAAGCAGGGCAAACTACCATGGGAGATGGTAGATCCTGCATCCCTTGAAGGCTTCAAATCAAGAATGGGCAGCTTCCCAGAAGATGTATTTTAATTAAATGCAACCTTAGTTAATCACAGGAATGAAATTGTGTTATAGAGGAAGTCAGGCTGGATGATGTAATGGTTCTTCCTGTCCTTATTATAAAAACAGATGTTTACTGTGGGAGAGGAGGTATTTAAATACAAGCTGTGTCTGCATAATGGCCTTAAAGTATGTTAGTTAAACATATTCATGTGATCCTTCTCATTTTTAACCTGTTTTGGATAACCTAAAAAAGGTCGGTTATAGAAAATCGCCTTTACTGATGCAGTAAATTGCGCATTACCTCCTTCATGCCCACGATGGCAGCTACATTGGTGTTAGGTCGGGCTGTTCCAGAGATTGAACAATTCAGACTATATTGCATGAAACCATGGCTTGGTTCTGGCTTTCCCTCCATCACATTTGTGCGCTGTGTCGCCCAGTTTTCTGCCCCGTGGTGGGAAGGCTGGCTGGGGAGGGGAGCTGCTGCAGCGGCAGCCTTGGACACCGGAGGGGTAGAGAAATGCTCACAAAAAGGGGGTGCATCCAAGTCATACCACTGAGGAGGTGTGTGTGTTCTTTTGAAGCAAATGCTGCTCTAACAACTTTGAAATCATTATTTCTCAGCTTTCTTTAAATAGAGCTTAGTAAATTCTGCCCCAAAGGAAGACTCTCCCGCACCGTGCAGTGTTATGGGACTGTTGCATGTTCTTTACACCTACAGCATGTGTTTTGACAGGGGTCGTTTGGGAGGTGAGGAGTGGATGGGGGTAGAAAGGAATATTAATTAAGCTTGTCACTGCCGGAGGGATAGCGTGCATTGTGCGCAAGGAAATTCCAGGTAGAGCTGGGCATGACTTTTCTGCGTGGAATAAATTTATTTTTAAAAAATGTACTTTTGAGACAACTACGATTATTCACATATCCAAGTTCAATCTGGTAAGTTATTGCATACAAAAAATGTGGGGGGAATATCATGCTTCAATCCTTTTAGAATGAATCACTTCAATATTTGAATTTCAAAGTTAATTTAATTTCAAAATAAAATAATTAAATAGCCTTCATTTGACATAAAACATTTAATGTGGGCCTCAAAAGTATTCCAGGTCTATCTGAATTGAAATTTTCCAAATTTTCCTATTTAGTGTCATGTCCACCACTGTGTATCTGGTTAAGTCAGTTCCAGCATGTCAAGAAATTGCATTAGAGAAAACTTTACAGTATCTACTTAAAAGAAAGTTAGCACCTATGGAGGAATAGGAATCTTTAACATGATGCAACTGGTTCATTTAAAACTAAAAGAAGATAAATAAAATGGAGAAATATGCAATCTTGAATGCTAGGAGCACTTTCTTAGAGTGAGACATCTTGGTTGACCTTACTTGTCTGTCTGTCTATCTGGTCAGTTGGCAATGCCAGCTGTTAGTCTGTAAAACTGTCTTTCAGAGCAGAAGGGGGAAATGCTTTATGTTTTCCTGATATACAAAAAAACTGGACAAAGCAACAGAGACTGTATTGGGAACAATTTGGCACCAGTCTGGGAGGGCAGAAAATGCAAATCTTATGGAGGAGATGGTTAAAAGATGGATTGTCTTGTCAATTTTGTTATAGGAGGCTGCAGGTTGGACAAGAGGAAGTCTTCACCTGAAATTTTAACAACGGACCAGATCTGTATT